TGTGTGTGTGTGTGTGTGTGTGTGTGTGTGTGTGTGTGTGTGTGTGTGGTGGGGGCAGGGGGGGCGCGTGCTGTGGTGTCATGAAGTGGTTGATGCAAGGAACCCTGGGGTGGGAAGACACAGTCTGTACAGTAGGCACAGGAGAGAGAGTTCAAGGATGAGATTTCCCATGGGGCTGGACCATAGGTGACCCACATGCAGGGGAGTGCGAGTCCTCTGTGGAGGTGCGTGTGGCGTTGTGCGGAGGCCATGGGACCAAGGTCCGGCTGCTGCTGCTTCTGGTTTACCATCCTGTGCTTGGCTAGTGCTGAACACACGTGTCTCAGCTGGTCCTTGCCTGAGAGGCACCCCCAAAAGATGGGCCAAAAGATGCCATCAGGTGCAGTTGTCTTTCAGATTTTGGGGAAGACCCCCAACTATATTCTCCGGACTGATCATTGAGGCTCGTGTTCTGACAACAGAATGTTTTATGATTTGCAGATTTATGAACATGAGGATGCATAAAATTGAATGCCATTAAAACATTAGCTAAAGCATTTCTTTGGAAATTAATATAGTTATATCACCTTGCAGCTGACCTCGTGTCATAGGCAGCATATATGATGACAGTACATTTATTTAAGTATCTGAAGAATCTTTTCTGTGGGAAATGGATATAGTGGGCCTGTATTTGGGGCTGATCCAACCCCGTTGGCAGCATATATGACGGGCCTTGGGACTGGTGGTGATGGGCGTGCCTCGCTGGACTTCTGTGGCGTTCTGTTGGTCTTTGTGTCAGGTGGCCCTTGGTGCCTGCAGGGGAGGGGAGCGTCCAGACCCTTGGGAGAACACATGTCCTGTGTGGATGTGGCAGCAAGAAGTAGGGCATGGAAATTCCCTTACCCAGCCGCCTATCACACCTGTGAGGGAAAGAAGGCAGTGGACTAGAAGACGGGGGAGGGGAAAAATACGAGCCGCCATTATGACTGACTGAAAGGAGAGGGGAGCAAAGTGGAAATTTCTCCCAGGGAATAGCCAGAGGGGTGGGGCTAGGTAAAGCCTGAGACGAGCTGGGAATGTTTGCATTTATTCATTGTCTTGTGGAATAGACATACTACTCGTCTTTTTAACCTTCACACCAATTGTGAGTAAGTGAGAAAGTTGAAGGTGTAATGGACTGGAATGTTGTACAAATGGAAGCTCAGAGGCAGCCAACCCCTCAATACAGGGAACGGATAAGTAGAGATGATAATTCATGTTTAAAAACACGTGTTGCCTTACGAAAGGATTTTCTGAAAATTGTTCTAGAAGAAAATTCTGCTACCGCATTTTAAATACGAGTCAGTGTATAAAGAAAATTTATTCATAGCATTTCAGAAGCACATGATCATAGGAAATGCAGCCTGACTGGGTGATGTTTCATTGTTTATTTTTTTTCAGCTTGATTGGGTTGTGATTGACAACTAAAAATTGTATTTATTTAAGGTGTACCATGTGATGTTTAGATATGTGTATACATTATGAATGATTACCATGATCAAACTAATTAACGTATCTGTCACCTTGCCTAGTTACCGTGTGTGTGTGTGTGTGTGTGTGGTGAGAACGCTTGATGTCAACTCTCTTAGCAAATTTCAAGTATAAAATACATTATTAGTAAATATAATTGCCATGCTGTACATGAGTTCTTCAGAACTTATTCATCGATAGCTGAAAGTTCGTACCGAGTTTGAACCCTTTGATCAGTATTTCTCCTTTCCCCCCACCTTCCAGCCCTTCTTTTCTTACTATAAGTTTGTCTTTGTTTTTTAGACTCCACGTGTAAGTGAAATCATACCGTCTTTGTCTTTCTACGCACATACACACACATTATACCACATTTCTTTATCCATTCATCTGTTCACAGACACTTAAGTTGTTTCAATCTGTTGGTTACTTGCGAATAATGCTGAAATGAATATGGGAGTACAGGTAAATCTTTTCAAGATAATGATCTAATTTCCTTTAGATATGCACCCAGAAGTAGAGTTGCTGGATCAGATGGTAGGTCTTATTTTTAATATTTTGAGGAGCCTCCATGCTGTTTTCCACAGTGGCTGCAGCAATTTACATTTTTTTTTATAACCCATCAACAGTGTATGAGGGTTCCCTTTTCTCCACATCCTCCTCGCCAACACTTACCTTTTGACCTTTTGATAATAGCTGGGTGATGTTTTAAATGTCCCTGAAATCAATAATAATATGCTATATAGCAAAAGGCCTCAATGAGAATCTGAGTCATTTAGAAATGTTGTGATTCTGTTTAGAAGAGAGGTACTGTGATGTATATATGTTTTGATTGTGTGAATTCTTGGTCTCCCTGAGTTCTGTACATGTCAGACACCATGTGAAATTTTCCATCTCATCTCATCTATTTATTTTATTTTTTTAATTAAAGTTTATTGGAGTGACAATGGTTAGTAAAGTGACATAGGTTACAGGTGTACAATTCTGTAATTCATCATCTATATTTTAGACTACTATATGTTCACTAAAGAAAATATGGAAAATACAGAAAAGTCCAAAGAAGGAAAAAACAGGTCATTGATTAAGAAAATTTCCTGATTATTTTGTGGTGTTTCCTTCTAGCCCTTTAATGCTAAGCAAGCTCTCTTTTCAGTGCTTGTAATTTTGCTGCCTTTTCTCAATATGCGCATAATTTCTCAGTATGCGCATATTATATGTGACCCCCTATTTTGGTTAAAAATCTGTAATGACCCATCAGCCATTTATGGAATAGATACACACAGCTTACTTCCCCAGTTTTGCAATTATTTGACACTTAGGTTGCTTTCTGTTTTTGGCTATTATAAATCATTATGGAAGATGCTCCAATGTACACCTTTTGGATGTCATATTTTAAGAGGCATTGTGACAGGTTGAAGTGCTGTTCAGGTGCAGGACCTGAGGACTAGGAGGTGTGAGGGAAGGTGGAGGCACTGGGCCATTTGACAGGATGGGAGAAGACAAAGGGGAGCGCAGCCCTGCCTTCGCACAAGGGTTGCCATGCTGTGTGGTTAAAGATGCAGATTGATAAGGGTCAGCAGGGTCCTCTGTTAGCCTGGCAGGAAGGCCCTCTGTGTCCTCGCCTGCATGTGAGTGGGTGCCGGTGCTGAGCCCTTGGCCAGGTCACTTGCCCTCTCTGTTCTTTCTCACCTCGCCCCGGCCTGCGCATGTGTTCTAGGGAAAGGACACTCTTGAGATCTGCATGGGGGCTGCGGTTCTACCCCACATGAATGAATGATCAGATTCGGTCTTACATTCACGCGGTGCTTTCCTCCACGTGTCGCATCCCTTCTTAGAGGCATATTTCTGGGGCTGGAACACCTTTACAATTCACCTATATCTTACAATAACAGTATGATATGGTTAGATTGACAGCATGTCTCTTGCTTTCTTCATGGTACATAACGTCATGGGGCATCGTATGACTGCTGAGGTCTTAGATGAAGTGAAATGTGTTGATACCAACCCAGGGAGGCGGATAGAGCAGACTTTACAGATCAGTTCCCTGGTGCTCAGAGAGGTGAAGCACTCATCCCAAGACCACCTGCCTCTTGACAGCAGACCTGAGAGCTGGAACTGTGCCCTTTGACCCAGGGCTGGGGCTTTCACCCATGCCCTGTGCAGAACCCCCTCCAGGCTTCCCGACACCCACCCCCACAGCAGTCCCTGCTGGCAGCTCTGACGTCCCACCTCAGCGCCAGGTGTCACCTTACATTTTCCTCCTGTGCACAAGAAGAGTGACAGGTGCTGGAGCACGGCACAGAGCCTCGGGCCGCGGGCTGCACAGCTGCACAACTCCTGAGCTCTCAGTGTGTGATGGGAGGGGAGAGGGGAGGGGTTGCGGAGGCGTCAGCTGGCTCAGAGCAAGACTTCTATCCCTGACCTTTGCGAAGAGATGGGCAGTTGGGGCACCTGGGCCACCACGTTCTGTCTGCACCTCTGACCTGCTAACCTTTAGTATTCTTAGGTCTGTGAGCTGAGGGAGTTCATGGTTTGAAAGTTAATTTGTGCACATTATCCATCTAATCCTTATAAGCCCGATAATGGGATCTTGTTGTTCTCATTTTCTAGATGAAGAAACTGAGGGTCAGAGAGGGTTTGTGACCTACTAGGAGATACAAGGCCCAGGACTTGAGCCCACACCCTCTGGCTCCAAGTTCTCTCTTCCAAACTCCTTTACCCACCCACGCTGTCAGTCACGTCACAACTCTTGGGCTCCATGATTCTGTCGCTCTGTGACCCCATATTTCTTCCGTCCCCTCGAAGCGTGTGGGGTGGATTCAGAGAGGGGCATAATAAGGCAGATGTTCCCAATCCAGTGTTCCCAATCTCGAGGCTTCACATGGGACTGTAAGAGACCAGAGCCCATGTGTCCATTCTAAGACTTCTGTCTGTGGGCTTGGAGGAAAACTTTCTGCTCTGTGGTTAAGAAGGCAGGTAGCTTAACTCTCGTGGTTTAATGTACAAAGATCAGAAGTTCCAGCTTATTTCTTCATTACTTGGCTTATTCATGCATCCATCCAGCCATTCATTTAGTCAACAAAACTTTGCTGGGCACGAGAAACACCAAAGTTAATGTATTCTCATTTCTTCTAAAAGACAGTGGAACTCGCAATTCTTTCACATTCTCTTGGCTTTCATAGCTTGGGATCGCTCTTGTATTGGTAACAATTCGGGAGATGCTATTTCTAATCATTTGTTGGGCTACCTGGGGAATTCGAAATAATTTTAATTCCTTATTCTACTCGTATATTTTAGTCTTAATAATAAGTCATAGTACCTAGAACAAATGGGCAAATGATAGAAGCGGGTGAGAGTTCAAAGGCACTCCTAAGCCATAGGGAAAGCAAGGGCAAACGGGAAGGGGAGGACTGCGTCTCTGAATCTTGCTCATCTCTGTAGCCTCAG